TCTCCTTATCTTTACTTTTTTCTTCTCCGAGGAATTACAACTCCCCCACCTGCAAACAATTTTATATTTATTAGAGACAAATTGATTGAACCCATAATATTAATCGACATACTGATTAATTTCAACACAAACTAAGCAGCAAATACAAGAAGAAACATATAATATATTTGGGAAACAAACTGAACTGATATAACTTAGACGATTATTTCTACATGAAAAATAATAAAAAAATATAACCTAATCTGAATGCATAGTACAATAGATCTCCTTAGTTAAACATTCCTTCAAAAAGTAGCACATTAAGGATGACCCTAAATTTTAATCCTAACGCCATAAACAAATTAATTTGACATAAAAAATTAATTTACTACGTATAATATAAATAAAGATTATGTATTTAGTTTGACATTGTAATAAGCAAATTAAGCAATTCATTTTTTACATTGTAATTTCAAGAGTGTGATTGTATGTTTACCGGCGTGTTCTCCCATATGCCTTCATGATGATCATTTCTTGTAGCATATACATCATCAAGTTCAAGTTCTTCATTTACAACAGGCATCCTTGGTGATGTGGAAGGAAATTCAAGAATATCTAAAGTCGAATCATCAACAGAGTCATTCGATACTCGCTTTTTCCCTTGAAGGACAACTAACCAGTTTTTGTCACATGGGTCTGTGACGTAAAACACTTGCTTTGCTTGACTTGCCACAACAAATGGTTCATTCTTGTATCCTTCTTTGCTAAAATCAACCAACGTAAACCCCCACTCATCTAACTTCACCCCATTATTACTATCTACCCATTTACATTTAAAAACAGGCACTTTAAACTTAATATAATTAAGCTCCCATATCTCTTCAATAATCCCATAATAAGAACTTGAAGCATATAATGGATTTTTGTCTTTTGCACTTGAGAAATGAATTGAGTCCGCTACAAGTGAAACACCACTATTTTGCATAGTACTCTTATCATCTCGTTCTTTCGTGTAGAAGGAGTACCCATTTATGTCATATCCACGCCAAGTTATGACATCAGAATTAGGACCAAGAGCCAACCATGAGACAGTTTCTGAAGCGAGATTATCATTACCAACCTCATTTTTGAACCATGGTATGAATGTCTTGTTATGCTCGTTCACCAACCATCGTTCTGGTTTTCTAGGATTCTGTTCCTTTATGAGTCTCTTATGCTGGTCTAAATATGGATGAACTTCAGGAGTGTTAGTTAGTACATATAGATGTGCTTTCAACAACTCTTCACGATCAACACTTTTCATTTTTCCTCCAAGTGTCCCTTGTCCGGAACCTCTTCCATCATGGCGAGATTTCGGAAGACCAACAGATTTGGTCTGCGATAAGTACTCCGTACAAAATTCGATCGCTTCTTCTGCAACATATCTATCAACAATAGATGCCTCAGGCCGATGAGGATTCTTTACATAACCCTTCAAAATTTTCATATACCGCTCAAATGGATACATCCATCGTAAATGCACAGGACCACACGAGCGTATCTCTCTCACCAAATGAATGACGAGATGTACCATAATGTCAAAAAACGCAGGAGGAAAGTACATCTCGAGCTGAGATAATATAATTGCAGCATCATTCTCTAAATCATCCAACACTTGAGGGTCAATAACCTTGGTACAAATGGAAGTGAAGAAGAAGCACAATCTACTTATGGTGCTTCTCACTTTCTTCGGTAATATACCTCGAATGGCCACCGGTAAAATTTGTTGGACCAATACATGATGATCATGGGACTTTAAGCCTACCAACTTCAACTCCTTCATTGATACAAGACGCTTAACATTGGAAGAATACCCATGTGGCACTTTTATTCCACGTAAACACTCACAAAAGCTTCGTTTCTCACTTTTTGATAGTGTATGACAAGCTGGTGGCAAATAAGTCCTCTTACCTTGGGGTACTGGAGCTAGCTCCCCTCGTATGCCCATACAAACCATATCTTTTCGTGCATTCAAAGTATCTTTTGTCTTCCCTTTTATATCAAGAAGCGTGCTGATAAGACTATCGCACACATTTTTCTCAACATGCATCACATCAATGCCATGACGAACATCAAGCTCATGCCAATACGGGAGATCAAAAAATATTGGTCGCTTTTTCCATAAGCTTTTCTCGGCTTGCTTTTGTGTCTTACCAAACCTCATCTTTATATTTTTTACTCGGTTGAAAGCATCTTTGGTGGTTAAGGCCTTTGGAGCTTCTGCATGCTCCTGCTCACCATTGAAAGCTTTTTTCAATCTACGATAAGGGTGGTTCGGTTTTAGAAATCGACGACTGCCAAGGTAGACCGTTTATCTTCCGTGTTCGAGCTGATGGTAGCACGTGCCTTCTTCACATATAGGGCAAGCTTTATGCCCCTTAACACTATAGCCGGACAAGTTCCCGTATGCTGGAAAATCATTAATTGTGCAAAAGAGCATCGCTCTCATCATAAACGATTCTTTTTTATACGCATCAAACACATCGACACCTTCATCCCATAACATCTTCAAGTCTTCGATTAAAGGCTGCAAGTAAACATCTATGTCGTTCCCCGGTTGTTTTGGGCCCGAAATCATCATAGACATCATTATGTACTTGCGTTTCATGCACAATAATGGAGACAAATTATAGATAACGAGTAGAACTGGCCATGCGCTATGCTTGCTGCTAAGGTTGCCATACGGATTCATCCCATCTGTACAAAGGCCGAGTCTGAGGTTTCTTGGCTCATTCCCAAAATGCGGAAAAAGTTGATCAATCTTTTTCCATTGAGGAGAATCAGCAGGGTGTCATAGCATTCCATCTACTTTCCGTTCATCTGCATGCCATCTCAAATTTTTAGCCCTTGTCTCACTAGCAAACAAGCGTTTTAATCTCGGTACTATTGGAAGATACCACAACACCTTCGCCGGTGGTCTCTTGTTACGAACACGAACACTCAAATTAGCATCAGTTTCTTCTTTGAAACGAGAAACCCCACATACTGGACACTTCTCAAGACTTTTATATTCATTTCTGTACAAAACACAATCGTTAGGACAAGCATGAATCTTCTTATACCCCAAGCCTAAAGGGCACAATACTTTCTTTGCCTCATAATTAGAATCAGGCAATTCATTATCCTCGGGAAGCATATTCTGAAGCAAGCGTAGCAACTCTGTAAAACTTTTATCGCTCCATCCATGCGCCGCCTTCAAGTTGATTAATTTTAATACTGCAGTCAAACGTGATAAGTTTTTACAACCACTGTAGAGTGGCTTATTTGCTTCAGTAGACAAAGACTCGCAAACTCTGTTCATATGTGCTTGTTCAAACGCCTCAGCTCCCACATCATTAATCATGTCCTCCATCCGATCATATATATCTGCATCACCAGCATCAATTTGTTCGTCTTGGGATACACTTGGCATGTCAAATTCACCATGCCAAATCCACCGCTTATAACTCTGGTTGAAACCATCGCAAAGGACATGCTCCCTAATTTCTTCAATAGATAATTGTCGATCGTTTAAGCAGTTCACACAAGGACAGAAAAATTTTCCATTACTATTGGCAACATGTTGTTTAGCATACTCCAAAAAATATTCCACTCCATTCTCATATTCGCTACTTGTTCGCACAACATTGACCCATGTACAATCCATAACTCCCTAAATAATTATGTTAAATTTAAAATATAAATAAAGATACAAATATTAAAGATAAAAATACAAAGCAGATACATACACATGCCATAGGACTCACCACATTGGGTATTGATCCAGAGGAAGGAAAATGTCCACCAAAGTCATTAAAAGTTTCACAAAGTCCACCAAACTCACTCACTTCAAAAAGTTTTGAAAAGCCTATAAGAGTTTCAATTGAATATATCCCTTAAAAAACTCAACATATAATTCCACTTACTTTCATTTGTCACTTTCTCAGTTCTGAGTATTAATTTTATGATAAATCTTATTAAACAAGTTGGGAAATGCGGATTAATTCAATGCACAGTGTCATTTACACCAATTTCCTATCAAAACAAAATCTACTCAAACAGATTTTATACTTACATAACTTCCTCATCAATATATTTCTCTATCTACTTTCTTTCTTCCTTACAAAAGAGATGAACAAAAAGTCAAAAGTACATCTATAAAATCCCACACACCACAACTTTCCACATACATTAGTGTTAAGTATATTTTTGGGCATGTGGTAACCGAGTTACCCGACTCGGGTCGATCTCGAAGGAAGGCTATTCGGAGCTTCGTCTACTAGATGATCGTCCAAAATCACAAAAAGGGAAAATAAATTCCTAAACATTCTAAGCAATCGATTTGGAAGTTGATTAACACTAACGAGCACTTAACAACGAGCGATTAATTGAAAGCAAGATCAAAAGACGAGCAATTCGCAACCTAAACCATCAGAATCTCAAGTCATAAACGCAACGGGATGGTAATCACATAAAATTGTCATGCTAGATAAACTCTAGGTAGATAAATCACACTCTAGCACAAAACGAGTAAGCATTCATCTCC